ACAACTGCAGAAAGCCCTTGGCTGAAACAGGGAGCGAGACCCATTATGGACTGGGTTGCAGCAAGAGAAATCTTTGTTTCCGTCCTAAAAGGTGTTCATTCATCCCTAGTGAGGCCACGTCCATCCCAGCCACAACACTCCCTACTCCCATCCTCGGTCCAGGGCAGGTTCTTCCCCCACAGAACCCATTTCCACCTTCCTCCAGTCACCAAACAGTTTTTACCTTGTCCTTTCAGAGGGAGGGCATCGTCTCCCAGGCAGAGCTACCGCAGGCTATCTGCCTGCTGCGCAGGGTGGCGTCTGGCCTCGCGCCATGTTGATAGAGGCGTGTGGCAGCACAAAGGTGCAGGGCAATCAGAAAGACACTGTGTAAAGGCTTCCTATTGCACAATGATTTTGTGGTGGTTTTTTTAAGAAGTTTTGTGACAGCTCATCTTACTTTACAAATGTGTGCCTACAGCTTGATCACTCCCGTCTGTTTTACTGTGATTTGTACAGCAATTAGTACCCGTTCAGTTGTCAGTGGCAGTGGAGGGAGAAGGGCTGCCAGGTTAGTCTCTTCTAGGAGCGTGTAAACCTTTATGGAGCTCTTTTCTGTGGCCAAGCCCATGGCTGGACTCCTGGATGTTAGCACTTATGTGCCAATTCCTTGCTAAATAAAATAATTCACTTACTATTTGTAGAGCTGGGGACATAGTAGTCACTAACTGTTGTTTCCTTCTCTGAGTTCGAGGTGACAGAAATCCTTAGTGCGCTGACCTGTCTCCATCTGGACGACAATGGGCAAATTCTGTGCTGTGGGCACATTCAATAGCTTTACGACTGGATCAGATAACTACAGAACGATACTGCTACTTTTTTAGGTATTCCCCGTACTAAGCACTGGGGAATAATACTGCAGGCGTTGTGAAAGCATTGTCTGAGTGAAAACCGCAATATTTTAAAGCACAAACATGTGCCTGCTACTGTCAGATGGAATTTCTCAGTCATGTAAAATAACATATTAATGTAAACATGCAAAGGAACTGGAAATTGCCTTTTTTGATCAATGGGTTGCTAGTGAGTTGTTAATTACCTGGAGCTGAATGGAAGAGGTTCAAATGGGCAGCTGAGTTAAATGATGGAATGATTTTTTTGTAATCCTGCACACTTTGTATCATATGAAAGTGTCTTATGTGCATTCAGCTGGACAGAGGAACAGGGCAATTGCAGTTTGGAGCTGAAAAGAAAAATAAAGTAGTGACCTGCCTGATTGTATTGCTGGGTGCATTATAAGATGTGACTAGGAATGCCTAGGATGTAGGCATTTACATTTAATTTGTATTTACCCCAGATTTTTATTTTTTTAAAGTGAATTTTTAATAACTTTGTAGTTTAACCTTGTAGGGACCTAGCCTCCCTTTGCTGTCGTCTAGTTTTCATGTTCTTATTTCCCACTCAGCTTGCCACGCAGCACTTTTGTAGTGATTACCTAATGCTGCAGTTTCCCTCCTACTTAGGTGCTGCAACACTGCTATTCTTATTCCTGCAGCACTGGGGCTAAAATCCCACAGATGAAAGACAGTGAGCCTGTGTACTGACTCCAAAAGCCTGCTTGCTTGTCCTGAATCAGACTGTACTGTTACTGGAAGTGACTTTGGATATGCTTAATTGCAGCCTGCAATTCACAGGGACATGTACATTTCTGATGGAATGACTAAAAGCCTCTAGCATTAGTCAACCTGATCTGTAAATCATTTTTCACCAATATTCAGCCTACCCTTTTCCTCAGCAACAGAAAAGGGAATCCCAAAGAAGGCACGGTTTGACATATGCATCAGTCTCAGGTGGGCCCCTCTATTTCTCCCCATCTCTCTCCACAGCATTGCATCCAGCAATGTTTCCTCTCCAGAGGTAGAAAAGGGCTGGATGCAGTTTCATTCTGACAGCTGACGATATTTCGCAATGTACTTTGTAGAGAGCTGAGTGCTAGAACATGCCTGTTGACCCTCTCCCCCTCTCCTTTGCACAGGCCTGCGCAGTGGTCAGTCCCTGCCAAGGCAAGGGCAGCAAATTTCAGAGCCTAATCAAAATTTACTGCCACTGTCCTGTCAGACTGGCTGCAGATGATGCAAGCATGAGGAGAAAAGCCCTCTGGCAATCCATGAACATTAGATGTACCCAAGTGGCGAGTCAGTGAGTTGGAGGCTGCATGGGTGGACTGTGACAGAAGAAAACCTCCTTACCCATGGTTTTTCAGTCATGCTAACTATTGTCTTTTCTTGTTCTCTTATCTTCCCAGGAACGAGTGGAATATCTCTTTCTCATAATTTTTACAGTGGAAGCATTTTTAAAAGTAATAGCATATGGACTTCTCTTTCACCCCAACGCTTACCTCCGCAATGGCTGGAATTTACTAGATTTTATAATTGTGGTAGTAGGGTGAGTACCGATGTTTTGTCTTTGAACACACTGCACACACGAGGACACTGGGAAACTTTGGGAACATGAGGGTGGGTGAATGCTTGGTACATTACTTATGGGTGATGTTAGAGGTTGCTGTCCATCATGTTTCTCCTACCACCACCATTCGTCCCTCATGTGTTAGCCCTTGTACAGACTCCATGTGTTTTACCAAGTATTACTGTGTAATCTAAAAATACAGTTAACTCATTGGTCGTCTTCTGCAGGTATAACTTGATTCATGCTTGATTCATTCAATGTGTAGCAACAATTTGCCTTGAGGTAAATATTAAGGATTGACTATCGGTTGATGCACATTTTCTGTCTGGTATCCCTTGCTACTTAGCCTTTTCCAAGGCTTTTAAAGGTTTGCAAGACATAGAAATTAAACTGCTCTTTGGGAACCAGGATAAAAACAGGAAGCAGTGCAAAGCTATTGGACAAAGTCAAATGCCTGAATATGCTTAACTGGAAGAAAATCCCTTTGTTTGTAAATCTGTATGACTATTAAAAAAGAACATCTAGGTGGTATCCTTTAATTAAGTTTAGAGTTGAATGACATAAATTCTGCCATCTTGTGAGCTTTTACTGATTTTTCTCATTCTCAAAGATGGATGAAAAATTTAAATCTCAGGTTTTCATACTTACAAATAAAAATAAGTTCTTCAGTTCAATTGCACACTTCTGGTGATTTTAACATTTTTGATTTTGACCTTTTTAATGTTTTAACCTTTTTGAAGACTAATTTTACTATTGTAGATCAAACTGCCACTTTGAGCTGCAATCTTTCTAACCCTGTTAATTCCTCTCTGTATTTTTCAAGCTTGGCATTTAATTTATTCAAATAAAAGCAAAATAAAACACCTTTTGCTTTTTCTACCTGAGGGTAAGAGATAAACAAGGGGTTTGAATTGTGTTTGTTGAAGGGAAGAGGTGAAGGATAAACTACGCCTGAAGACAAAGAGAACAAGTATTATTTCCTTGCCTGAGTGATTTGTCCCATCCTCCCACTACTCCATTGTTAGAGAGTTTCATCACCCACAAAGACTTGCAGTCTTTTCACCTCTTTACCAAGGAAACCCTGCATCAGCTCCTAGGGAAAACGTTGAAAGGGACTCTTTCAGTCATCAAGCCCATCATAATTTCTACCTCAAACCAAGGTCCACCTAGTTTCTTGACCATTTTTGTGGTGGCCCCCGAAATTACGTCAGCATACTGCTGTATGCTACCCAATCCCTCCCACTTTCCATCATCATGGGGAAAAGTGGGTGGAAGGAGAATTCCCAGTGAGGGGGAGGGAGGACGAGGACGAGCTGGAACTTATTCTTAGTCACAAGACCTCTCTGCTTCCACGTAGGCATAACGCTTCTCCTTACGGCAATGCACAATTGTCTTTCTCCTTCATTCCTACCTGCAGCCAGAGGATCCCACAGCAAATTATTAATTGGAAACTGGCAAATCCCCAGCCCCTCCCCTGGCATTGATGTCCAATTCCATAGCTGGTTCTGCCTTTGAATGCCCTCAGATATCTCACTTGCTTAGGAGTTACTGTTTAACTTGAAAGATTGGAGAACAAAAGTCCTGTGAATGTGATTATTCCCTTTTCATTTTTATGAGAAAGAGACTTTTTAAAGAGAGGACACATTACTTCTTCTTCTTACATTGGAATGCGAAAGAGCAGGGCTCCAGAAATCACAGTGCAGCATTATATCTAGTTTAAGTACAGTCCTTTTTAATTTTCCTACTAGGGCAGTTAATCAGCAAGATGATATTCAGACTGAAATTAATTCCCTTGCCATTGACAGAAGCTGCAGCTCTCAGCTCTTCTATCTGCTCTTGCCTCCAGCAGCTCTCAGTCACTAGATGGAGAACAAAAAATGTAACTGGGGAGGGATTACATGAGTCTAATAAACATGGCCAAGACCCCAAGGTCTCTGTTAAATAGTAACAATCTCAAGTGACAGATTCCACTTCAAGGCCAGATGGGTTCCTCTGATGTTTATCTGTTTAAACTCGCTCGTACAGTACCACAGCCTAGGCTGGTGCACTGCTTTTTCTCTCCACAATCCCTCTGCAAAATCTACGTGGTGATACCATCTGTTCCTGCTCTGCCCTGTCTTCTTTTCCTACGGGCTGTCTGAAACCTCTCAATGACATTATGTTTAAATTTCAGCGTATTTGAATATTTTGTCAGGGAGGAACTCCCATGGGGAAGATTCAAAATAAATTTTTAAAAGAGAGAGAGGAGGAAGAAAGCAAGTGTTGGTAACAATATTTCCTTGTGGTGCCTTTTTCTGCCTATTGGTGGAGCTACTGGAGAAAGCTGAATAATTTGGACACAGCTGTAGCATTGGAAAGAGGGATTTATTTGGTATGTGGGGCAAAGGATGGTGTGGGACTCATACTGGAAGCATCAAGTCCCAAAACGACTGTGGTAATTGCCATTCGTGCTTGTTCTGCCTCAGGAATCATCTTCATTTTCAATAATGGTTGTCCTTGCTACAAAAAGTAGAAAGGCTAGGTGGGAAGTATTTCTTCAAGTACTGTGGAAGTTAAAGGAGCAAAAAAAAAAAGACAGGTTTTAGATCCTTTGTTTGTCTCTAAATCCACCTAGTATACACTGCTTACCACATATATCTTGAAGAGGTAATACAGCACGACTGGCTTCCTTTATGTTAAAACATACAAGTCAGTAGAGAAAGAGGAAAATGAACATGTGTAGGAGCAATTCTAGAGGGAAGTCTCAGGTTTTATAAAAATTAAAAAAAAAAAAGTGCTTGTATACTTCCCCCTGCCTTCTGAAGACAGGTCCCCCGGTATTCAAAAGGATCTTAGAGTCAGTGGTTCTAACAAGGCCACAGGAACACACAGCAGCAGCAGAGGGGAGCACTAAACACAACTGCTACGTTTTCTGGAGAAAGGGTGCACTTTAGACCTGTAAGCTTGTAACAGTTTATCGTTCTTGCACTATGGGGGACCTGCTTATTCGTCAGCTAAGTCTTTTAAAGCTTGATTCTTCCTTATCTTTAAATAGCCTATGACCCTGCTATAGCAGCTACCATTAAATAAATGCTGCTTTGAAGAAAAATGTCTGTGTGTGGGCATCAATCAGAGGCTCTGTGGATAAGAACATTATTAGTTAAGAGTAGAGATCACACCCCTAAGCTGCCTAATGAGGCACAACACACAAACACTAGCGATCAGTCAAATTGTTTCCTGCTTCCTTCAGTTTCGCTGTTCCTCTTTTGGAAAACATTAAAACTTTCAGATATAACAGTGATATCCTTTAATATTAGGCTGTTGGAGGAAATTTCTCTTGAGAGAAGACTAACTTGACAATGTTATGCTAGAAGAGTATGTGTCTTTCCTGGCAATGCTGTGGTTTGTCTGCCAAGCACAGTCATTCTCCAAGGACCCATAGCTTCTGCCAGAAAAAAAGGTGTCGTAATTTGAAAGGCAGTCTTACTTGGGAAGGTAAGCAGTGAAGGTATTTGGAAAGTATCTGAAATTCAGAGCAGACTGGAAAATGTGGTCACAGTACACGTCTTTCTGAAGACCTGTGGGGAGTTTCTAAAGGGCAGACGCAAACGCTTTCACACTCACAAATCACAGGTGAACTGTAAAACATTGTGAAAAAAATCATTGTACTTTACTATTTCTTTATACCTACGAGGATTTTTTCAGCTGTGTTTTTCTGCTGATTTTTGGCCTTAGAAATACCAAGCCCTCTGTTTTCTCTTTATATTCTATATATATCTTTATAATATATAAATTTATAAATATATTTATATTGTTGAGGCCCTTGACAAGTTCTTCTTTTATGCTATAAAAATCAGTGTGCCCTCCCCACAGAGGAAGAGATGAAGAGGTGTAGAGCAGGTTACAGCCGTATCATGCTGCTGTTGGGGTCATCTAGCAAAGCGAAAACCTTTTTGATTTCCAGATGTCAAAAAAGAAACAGAAAAATATAAGAAAGAAAAACAGTGAGGCTAGCTTCATACCTCACGAGTAAATGTAAAAAAAAAAAGTAGAGTGTGTCCATACACACATGTGCATGATAGAAATTTATTTTCTGCTTTATAGTTTATGTGTGTCAAATGAATTTAGTTTAGGTGTAGTTATGTCACAAGTGAATTTCAGAAACCAAGATGCTGTTAATTGTGCTTCTTCAGTGGAAAGTACTATATCCAAATGAAAATGGGGCATGAATTTAGGCTGGCAGAAAGTAGTTAGCTGGAAGGAAATAAGATTGATTTCTATATCTTTTTTTTAAAAAATGGTGAGATTTTTCATGGCCACAAGAGATTAAGCCTCTTGCATTTTTATACCATCCAAACTTTAGTTTCTCTGTCAGCACAATGTTCTCTCGCACCATGCTTGGAGTGTGCATTTCAGCTAACTCACCTACTGAGAAGAGAAGGAAAGAACTACACCTCGCTCCACCACCTCGCTTCCCCTTTGGGTCATAACGAGTTACAGCCGAAAAAGCATGTGGTAGTTGTAGCCTCTGAGTCACAGATGTCTGCCCATGCCCTAACTCAGGAGGCGATAGGGACAATGAAGTAGGATTGGCAAGATGTACTATAAATTTGAAGAGTGGAGTAGAGATTCAGTAGGCCAGATTGGGCACAGGCTATACCCCAATACAAAAGAGCGTGAAATAAATGAGAGAAATAAAAAGTTGTATTGCATTAGTAAAAAGCAGGATTAGTACAAGGGGAGATATTAATCATGGAGTAAATGCATTAAAACAGGATTAGCAGGAGTAAAGCAATTCAAGTAGGTTTTTAAATAAGCAGCAGCAGATTGAAGTAGGCAGATGACTGTGGGTACCTCAAGACAGTACATTTAGCACATCAGTGCTGGAGCACACAAACAGGGCCACCTGGCCTGCAGTGGAGCTGCATTAGTCTGGGAAGGCAGGTTCTAGCTTCAGTGGAATGAGCTGTCCTACTGGTTGTGTTTCTGCTCCTCCTAAATTAATTTAGGATATGTATAGCTTTCCTTAGGATGCAGACTTCTAGAGCAGCCCATGGCTCACTCATTGCCTGAGTGGCAGGAAAAACGCCCTTGGTGCGAGCTGCTAAGAGCTGCTGTTTGGTAAAACATGGGGCCAGTGATGATGGGGACTAGGAGAACGGACCCTCCGTTTTGCACATTTGCTGACTCAGAGTTCCTTGAGATTTCTTGTCTTCAGCATTGCAAGAGAGCTGAAAAACACCGTAAGAAACCTTTTGCAGTGAATTTTTTCCTCCAGAGGATCCCAGGAGACTGGGACTGTTGTATAGGTATGTCACTCATCATCTAGTATGGGAATTCTGTTGACTAGGAAGGTAGAAACATTTGAATAAGAAATAGAGCACATTTCTAGAGCTTAATCACTAGCTTACTGGAAATATATTAGGCCAAATTTGACCTACAGTGTTTCTATTATGAAGACCAGCAGAAAATTGCAACTGTATAATTTGTGTATACAGCTCAAGAAATACATATATTCCAATAATTCACGTTCTTTGCATCAGCTCTTGTTTATCTCTCTCTGTGGTATCCGTAGTCAATGCAGTATTTCTCACAGGCTCTGTTTTTGTCTTCTCCGCATCCTGCTTCTTAGTCTGCAACACCTACAAACTCAGCATTCAACCTCCCCACACACACTTTTTCCCACGCTTGTTACCTAGTTGTTAAATCTTTCTGCAGTGCTTGAAGCTGAGGCTTTGAATAGATCCAGTTAGGAGTTCCTCAGTCACAGCTGACAAGTTTTGTAAGACTCTTTAGATGAAATTTAAAAAAAAAAACCTGCTTCAGAAACTAATTTTGCATTTGCACTCCCCTAATCCATGTTTTTGTGTCAATTTAGTGCTGGGGAAATGTGTTGGCTTAGATGCTTCAGTAAACGAATCCTCCTTTTTCTATCCAGGGCAAGCTTCTCTATGTTTGTGGCTCTATCAGTAAGTTTTAACCACGGACTGCAAGGACTGGAGCTCCTTGTAAAGCAATCGGGCAGCTCAGTCTCTGTTTGATACGCAGTTTGGGGGCTCTCTGTGGAATATGCCAGTCAGGGCTTACAGATGAGATCCTGACAGAGGCACTGCAGACTGCAAAGTCTTAGAGAGAAATCAGTCAGTGCTGAATCCAGGCCACTCCAACTAGGCTGTTTCTGGCATTCCAGGCAGCTTCTTTAAAGTTACCTCTGGTACCTCCATGGCATGCTATGGGCCATAGGGTCTCTGCCACTCACAGGCAAGCTTTTTCTACAAAGCGCCAAACATCCATTTAGAGTGGAACAGCATTTAACCTCTACTGAATTTGGCTGGGTTCAAGCTGATGACTTAAGGCTGAAAGCAATGTCATTAGCAAATTCATGAGGAATCCATCCTCCCCCAAAGGTATTAATGTTTTACCAGAAAAATGGAAGCTGCTTCCTGAAAGCTAATTTATTAAATCAAGTTCTTATTAACACATAAGGTGAGCCTTCAGCTCTTTCACAGAAGAACATTTTCTTTTCTGCCTTGCTCTGCCTTTTCAAATGCATTCTGAGACATCTTCTCCTTAAAGCAGCTACTCCTACTAGCCAAGATAAAACATTAAGACTGGTATAATAAAACATTCTAATAATAAGACTCCCACAGTTTTGCACTTTCCCTAGCCAATGCATCAGGGGATTTACAAATGGATACACAAGCACATAATCTGAGCATACTCCCTTATCTAAAAATTTGGACCTTGAACGATCCCTGAGTTTCACTCCAAGTTCTACCTGCAGTGACCTTGGTGAATCTTAAGTCCTTGTAAAATGGGTGACAGATAATTAACGGTTGGATTAATTATGGATGATGATTTTTTCCCCAGGTGGATTGTTGGTTAATAAAGATAGCAAAGTATTGGCAGCAGAAAGGGCAAAACCTAACATTTTGTGCTTTCTCGCCTTTCTGCTCAACTCTCACTGGGTATGTCCAGATTGTCTGGTAAAGACAGCCTGCAGACTGCCTTCAAAATCTGACCTACGTGCTCTGCTGTTGGTGACCCTTTAAATTTGGCATGAGGCATTGCCAGAATGGCCATTTTGAAGCACCCAGCATGCCCCAGCGCGCAGGGCAGGGGGCACATCTCCATGTGCCACCAGGCAGGCTGGTCACTGGGGTATTCTATAGCTGGCTGCAAGGAGCCTTTAGGCTGAAGGAGGAGCATGTCGTGTTTATGTCTGCTCCAGAAACAAGTGTTTTGCAAGTGGTGTAGACATCACCATTAGGCTATTGCATATGGGAAGAGTCTGTCTCTCCTCCAACATATGCGAATGTCGACTGAGATGTGTGACACTCTTCACAGGTCTGTGAGATAGTTTGGGTGATATGATGATGATGATCTCTGTTCCTGTTTAGCCCAAGCCTTGCTGTCTGCCTACAGATTGTTTCCTCTTTCTTTTTGCAGGCTTTTTAGTGCAATTTTAGAACAAGCAACCAAAGCAGATGGGGGGAATTCAATAGGAGGAAAAGGTGCCGGATTCGATGTTAAAGCACTGCGGGCTTTCCGAGTATTACGTCCGTTACGGCTTGTGTCTGGAGTTCCTAGTAAGTAACGTCATTGTTTTTGTTTTATGTATGTCTGCAGTGTGGCATGGGGCAGAAGTAATTTGTGTAACATTTTTGAAGATGGAGAGTGATGCAGATTATTTTTGGTTTGTGTGGGAGGCCTTTTTTCAAATTAATGTAGATTCATGACAAATGTGATATTAATCAAAGGATGACCAAACCAGAGCTGAAGGGGAATGGAAGTTTCATGGCATGTCAATCTGATTGTGCAACCTTTGTAAACAATGAAAGTGGAAGATCCAAGATTTTCATTATTTCAAGCAGAAGATCCTTTAAATAATTGTGAAGTTATAGTGCTTTGTTGGTATTATAAATACTTGACCTTGATGGAAATGCTGTATGGTCATTTGTGTTGATTTTGGAGGGAGAGGAGCTTTTTCATTAAAATTGCATTTTATTCTTTGCACGTGATGTTCTGATCAAGAGCACTGGGAACAATTTAAAACCAACAGGACATAGGGCAATGACACAGTCATGTTCTCTGTTAGTCTTATTTGCTTAAATTATTTGTAATGCCTCTGAGAAAGTCCTCAAGCAGCTTTTGATAGTCTAACATCCATTTTCTTATTTACAATGAAGGTATGAGTAACTGGAAGTCTGGTAATTCTATTGTGGAGGTGGAATATGAACATCACAGCGTGGGAGGATTATATCATTTGGCTTGAGAGTTTGTTATAGATGGGACCTACTGGCCTCTTGGAGAGAGGGTTAGTTGAAAGCTGTTATTGCTTTCCATGTTTATAGCAATGAGAGATGTAGTTAGCAGGAAAGGAGTTAATCTTCTCCAGAATAGCTGTGGAGAGAGCTTTGTTTATGTTTATTTGGGGAGCTTGCTAGTTTGATGTCTTAAAGAACTTCTAACTTTAGTAATTCAAAAACCCTGAGTCAAGTTACCATAAACTCTGTGAGATCAGCTTAAAAATCGTGATTTATTTGTTAGGGAAAAAAAAAGCGTGAAGTTCTTTTTCTTTGGCTTGTTTTCTGACCCCTAGGTTATATTAAAGCCATGTTTGCAGGCTTTTCTCTACAACCATAAAAGGTAGAAACTTTTTAAATGAAAGGTGAGAATCTTTGTGGGAGGAGCTGAAGCACTGATAAAAGCAAAAAAATATTGAGACAATTGACAGCACTACTCTTTGGTCTCACAAAAAGCTATGCTTAGTAACCTGTCTGCAAGGCCTCAGCTTGTGCCCAACTTGGAGTTACTTTGGGCATCAGTGGGTGAGTAGAAAATATTGAAAAGTAAATGCGGTCTATTAGGCGGTCTATTAGGCAACTAAGGACCTTCTCTAATACAGAACTAACACCCTCTATTCATGCCACCTCTATTAGGGATTACTGCAGTGGATTGATTCATGCAGACAATGGTGTACCATGCAATACCTTCAGTCTGTGCAGAACCCAGCTCTGCTTTTGGCCACTTTTGTCTCATGAAGCGCATTCTGTCTGTGGTCTTCAGTCTGCACTGGCACCCACTTAATTCCTAGCTGTAAACTAAGGTTTTGTTGTTCTTTCCTAGTCCTTCTCTGATCTAAGTCTTTTGGCGCTTTCTAGCTGTGTGCCTGCTGTATTGTAAGGGGAAGGTACTTGAATTTAAACATCTAGGAACTGTTCTTGGTGAGATGCTGCTTACGCTGGGACGTGTTCTGAGAGTTGTTCTGACATAGGCTGAGCTTAATCGTACCTATAGTTCTTGCTGTTCTGGAGAACAACATGTGTTCCCCAAGACAAAGGGGTTTTGTTACTACTGTTCAAGTCTCTTGACTAGTGCTCTTGGAGGACTAGAGGAAGCTGAAGGAGCCAAATCTGACACAGTTCATACCCATATGCATTCTGATCCCAGGGTAGACTATCTAATAGTCCATTTGTGGGTTTTTGCATCAAGAGAAGTATTTAATTTGCACCAGAACAGAGCAAGGGAGCCTGGTGCATGCTAAGAAATATTTGGTCTAGATAATGAAATGCCAATCCAGTGTGAAGCAGGCAAACCATCAACTTGACCTGACAGACATTCTCTATTAGTCTTTATGGTTCTTACTAGGGAAATATTTATTGAACCAGGCTTCTTTGGGGCTGGTGTGGCTTTCAGAAAGCCTACTGAGGTCTGTAGTTAATACAGCCTCAATCTTCGCTGTGCATTTTTGAATTGTACAAATGCCTGTTGATTAGCCTAGATAAATGTTATCACATCCATATGTATTAGAGCGTAACTTTTCTCATGAGGCCTTTCAGATAAGATTGCCTAAGCCAACCATAAATAGTACGTTACAGGATTACATTATTACATAATAAATTAGTGCAGAGGTTTAGAAGTCAAATCTCTGGGTCTCATTCAGGTTCTGTTCCCTGAGACATTATAAACACCAATGGGTGAGTTACCAACATTGCACTTGCTGTGTTTTGCCATCTATAAAAAAATGCCTTTTGCTTCCTTCCCCTTCCAAAATGTGGTAGACTTTTCCACTGTGAGGAGATGACCCACATAGATTTGTCCTAAAATTACATGAATGTAACATGCACTGTAGTTTCTTCTCACTTAACAGACTCTGTAAGTGTATGGAAGCAGCATCCTATTAGTAAGAAGGGGTCCTTGGGGTCATTGGCAGCCACCTTCTGCATGGAAAGCCCAACATCTGCTGCTTGGGTTGAGGTCCAGATCTAACTACCACAATTTGGGAAAAAAAAAAAAAACTGTAAAGCACAATGATTCTTATAAACCAAATTTATGAAGCACATGGTGAATTTTTGCATGCAAATCTGAAACTCCTCAGGGTTGGGGTTGGGAAATAGGTTGTCTGAGGTGGAGAGATTGGCTTGCAGCATGGAATCATTTTCTCTGAGTCAAAAGGAGTTTGCGTGGGTTTTTTTCTCTCTGGCTCAATCCATAGGAAATAATCCAATTTAAGAGGGACATCTTTTATATTCAGGTTCGAGCATTTAAAGACCTGCTTCAGAATATAGAGAGTTTCCACAAAAGTATGATTCGAATTAGGGGAAAAACATATGAATTGCCCTCTAAAGTAAATTACTAGGGTCTGCATTTTGCAGATGGAGAGACTGAAGGAAAAGTTCAAGGTTTAACACTCAGAAGTGGCTTCTAATTCTATATGTCTCATATTGGCTACCAGTGCTAGATATGGGTATCTGAAAGCTTCAGATAGATGGACAGAGGACGTCAGCTTCAGAGCTGAGAATCTCTTTTCTCTAAGTCCCATCTATGCTTAGTTCCTGGGACTTGGCTGTCTCTTGCCAGAAAATGCCTCAGCTGTGTAGCGAAGAATTCAGGGACTGTTCAGCGCAGAAGTGATTCATTTGCAAGCAAAGTTGGTTCACCCAGAGGCAGAGAAGCAAAGGTACCTTTGACAATCTTTGTTAGGATTGAACTGTCCTAGCCCCCAAATTACTTTAGTGCATCCTAAAACCAAAAGGATTTGAGGTCATGAGTTCAACAAAGCCTGAAGACTATGTCTGGATGACTGTCATTGGCAGAAAATATTTCATAATCTTTAAGAGAACAGATGATACTTTTATTTTTTGTGATTATATGGACATTCACAAGACCACTTGTCATAAGGTGGTCATTTTGTTTAAAATATGAGGCAGATGTTTTTTACCCATGTCATAAAAACAATTGTAGCATCATGGGAGAAGCCTTCAAAGGCACTGAATCTAATGTCTTTGGGTTCCTGTTACACCTTCAAAAATTGGTGTTAAGTATTTACACATTTCCAAGCAGTGCAATAGGGATTGATTGGTGGGGGTTTTGTTGGTTTTGTTTGTTTGTTTGTTTGTTTGTTTAAAAAAAAGGAAATAAAGGTAGTTTGAGTTCCTTTCTTGAAAACTTTTTTTGGAGTGAGAAGTACAGTTTTTGTTGAGACTGTGTGAGGTGCATGGCAGAGCAGTAGGTTAGATACTTCCCACAGCTCTCATCCATTGCTGACAGTTGCTTTGTGAACAAAATAAAATTTAAAAGGGATAATTAAGCAGACTCTTTTTTTTTATTTTTTATGTCTAACTTTTTTTAAAGTCATACTGCTTCGGAAAAAATGATCCATTCCCAGTCTGTTTAGCCTGGCATTATCTTTTAAATTAATGGTGAATATTTTCAAAAGCACATGGGTGATTTAGGTTTCACAGTGGTAAGTCACTTTTGAAAATTAAACATAAGCACATTATATAATTGATACACAGGCCAGACTTCACTGTTCAGCTATTCTGTTACTGTCATACTAACATAATTCTTGTAGTGCATACTTTATTTCAGTTGCTGAAATAACTTCACTGCTGATGTACCAAAGCAGTCTCCTTGTAAAAAACAAACTTCACTTGTGCATTAGAGCACCCATCTTAATGTGGTATTAAGATCAATATATTGGTTTGAGAAAGGAGAGAGAAGGAAAACAATTCCCTTGACGGACGTAAGTAGACAAGTGCAAAATCAGCATGTATACCAAAACTTAATCACCTTAGTGTCTTGGAAACTGTTACTCAGTATTGCCTTTGGCAGGAGCAAAGCATTGCAAAGCTTTCTAGGGACAGAAACAAGTCAGCCCTTTTGTGTCAGGAGTTTTCTGTTGAAAACTGTTCCTCCATTTTACATTACTAAATATTTTAAAACTTGTTTTAAACATTTTGTGCTCGAGGACGGCAAAAAGAAGCATCCAATTCAGCAATGAAGAAGCATGATCCAATTAAAAAAGAAAATCACTCCTGACTATTGGAAAGGGCAATCAGTTACTCCTACACATGCTAACTCACACCCATTTAACTTATTAAATTCCATTTCTAACACTTTTATTCATGCTGCTCAATTATACCACCTCATACATCTGTTCATCCTCTTTCTGTTGTACTTCGTCTTCATGTACCTACATTGTTGCCACTAGTTATTGCCTATCTGATATTTGCCAAACTTAATTTATAAGCTCTTCTAGATAACTTGAAAGCCATATAGTTTGAGTAGATATTGTACTCCATAC